CCCAAAGTAGCCCAAACCAGATAGCTGTGGCATATCATGTTCTATGACAAATAACATGTGTATGTATTAGGCTACAGATTTTAAAATAGGGAGATTATCATGGTAGGTTGTAGTGGCAGGATGGGCACTGAGCAGGTTTTCTGATCCGGGAGACGGGTAAAGGAGAGTCTTGGAGCCTTTGGTGGCTTTCTCATGCTTTTATTGAGCTGTTACATATAGAGCAGCAACCAGATACATGGCAGGCAGGGGTTCTGAGGTGCCAGGAGCCTGGCAGGCCTCCAAGCCCCCAGCAAGTCTTTACTCTGGGTTTCTCTAGCTTTTTTTCTCCCCTTCTCTCTCCTGCCTCTTCTGCTTCTCTTGGTGACTAACTCCATACTCCTCCCATGGCCTAGAGAAGTAAACAAGATAGCTTGCACCAATGTAACAACTGCAGGTGCCCCATCAGGCAGGGCAATCCTAATGGTGGGAGGGCAGAGAAGCCTGAAAACCATTTACCCTATATAGGTCCAGTCTAATAACACATGTTCTTAAAAGCACAGAATTTCTTAGGCTGGGAGCAGAATAAATACAGCAAGAAGAAAACCACAGATACTAAAACTATGAGGATTATAGTCATTATTGCTAGTTCAAACGTGAAGAGACTGTCACAAAGAGTATATAGGTGGTCAGAAAGAGCTGAGAGTGTACGAAGTAACAGCTAGAAAGGAAACAGACCTCAGCCCTAGGACTACAAGAAGATGAATTCTTCCAGCAACCTGAATGAATTTGGGACATAGTCACCCATAAGGCCTAGCTAAGAGTCCAGCCAGCACTTGATTTCAGCCCCTGTGAGGCTTACAGCACATGGCCCAGATTTCTGACCCACAGAGCCATAATAAATTTTTGCTGTTTCAAACCTCTAAGAGCATAGTCATTTGTTATGACAGCAATAGGAAATTATTGTACCAGTTAATCATCCCAAACTCTCCTCAGACACTTCAAGACCCATCAAAGTCTAAGCCAACTTGACTAATCCCAACTCTTTTCTCTCTGCTCATAAAATACTGGTTTTTAACTTCTTCCAGGCAAGGCTCAGCTTTATACACAGTGCTTATGTTCTTTTGCAAAGAAAAATATCAGTAGAGAAATGACTAAATAATGTAAATTCAGGGAGCGTGTGGTCAATGCAAAGCTGTGCTGTCCAGACCTCCCTCGAGGAAGGGACTTGCTGCCCTCGTGCAGAGAACGCCAGCTGCCACCCCTTTCAGGATCTACTTCAGCAGAAGAAAACCACCTTTTTCAAGACCATACCATTTCCAAGGAATTTTACTTCTGGCGACAGGGTAAGGACAGGAGGCTAGAGAGGCCCAGCCATTGTGACTCAACACAGGCCACTCTGACAAGCAATATTTGCCCCTGAGCTCTTCACAGGACTGGAGAAGGCATTATAAGGACACCATACTGCCCCTTGATTTCTTTCAAGTTGATTCCTAATAATCAAGTTGCTCTCCAAACTCCACCTCAGTTTCTGCTTCTGGCGAAATCATCCTGTGACAGAGTGGCAAGTATTAATAAGAATGTAAAACAGGTTAAAAAGATGATGTTTGGGATAGCACACCAGAGGAATGAGCTAACATAAAAACTGTGATACTACAAAGACTTGGAAAACTCAAATAAAAAATAACTTTAAATATTATTACTAACTTATATGCAAGTAAGAGAACTCCCAAAATGCAAGAAACAAAGTAATACTTAAAATCAAAAAAAAAAGTAAGAGTGTAAGCTGACACCGGGTGGGTCATGAGGAGTAGCTGGACCTGGAAATAGGACTTGGTGTCTAGGGATTTGGGTTTTTAATTCTCACACAGGGCCAAGAGGAAAGAATTTAGGTCCAGGTGATACAGAAATTAGAGCTCATATTCTGTATAAATCTATGACCCGAAAAGAGCTGCAACCTCAGTGGAGATAAGAATGAAAAACTCAACCCATCGGCCAATGAAACTACAGAGAAACCTGTTCTGTCATGAATATGAAAAATAAACGTCCCCTAAAAAGTCAGTTGCCCAAGAGTATACCACACATTGGGCTGGAGTTTCATGTCAGTAATATAAGAATTTCCAAACTGAGAATTGTGATAAGTATGTCATGAGTCCAAAATATCTCTGAGAAATCAAACAGCAGCAAATCATTCGCCCCTGAATTACCTCAGAGCAGAACAATACCAGCAGATGAGCTCATGTTAGCAAATTACTCAAAATGAGTGAGAGACACACAATAGATTATAAAATAAGCATAATTTAAATAATGCAAGATTTAAATAGGTATAGAAACTACCAGAAAAGATTAAGACTCTAAAAAAGTCACCTAGTAGATTTGATAAAAGCAAATAGAACTGCTATAAATAAAAAATTTAACCACTGGATTTGAAAATACAATGGTAAGTCAAAAGACAAATAAAACAGAACAGAAAAGAGAATTGGCAAAGTGAAAAAAGGGATCTGGGAATTTATCCAGGGCTGTGTAGGCCTTAGTTGTGTGCCACTCAAATCTCCTTCCAAGATATTCTGTTAAATAGAGCAGAGATGACACCAAAGTAGATCCCCAACTCTTGCACCTTTGGATTCACCCCTTCATTCACTCTGAGGCCTAGTCTCAGGGTTCTAAAGCCAGGCCATTTTTGCACAACGTGAAATTCTCCCAATGGCTAACTTTTGCTCGGAACAACCTGTCATCCTGACCAAAACCTATCTAGAACAATATTGCAATCTAAGGTTCCTCCTACAGAATCCTTCTTTAGCTCTCTCCAGTCATAGTTGTAAGCCATGCATGATGGTCTAAAGCCTCTCCTTGTCTATTCCTGCTTCCTCCTTCTTTTTCTTTCATGTCCTCAAATAAATCTCTTGTATGTATGATCCTGTTTTGGCTTTTGTTTCTTAGAGAAGCCAAATTTACACCAAAAACAAAAATAAAACAACCAAGCAGCATCAACATGGACTATAAGAAGGAGTAATCAACAATATAACATTTAATAAAAGTAATATAGTTAGCAAAGATTTATATTTTGTTATGAATGTATGTTTAAGATGTAAAGATGTCCAAGTAGAGAACATCATTGCAAACCAAAATGAGAGGAATAAAGAAAATCTGGTGATTCCAAAGAAAGTAAAAAAAAAAAAAAGAAGAAGAAAACAAATCAAGAAAAAAGTGGGATAACTAAAGTGCAAAATGTATAATAGCGAGCAGTCCCTCTACCCACCTGTGACTATGCAGGTGCTTCTTTTCACCAACTCTCCCTCTGCAGGGCAGCAGCTTTCTGGCTGCCTGGGATATGTACCATGCCAGGACTTTTCTTCACTGACAGCGGAGGCAGCTCTCCTCAAGGCCACCCGTCTGCAACCATTGCAGGCCTCTCTCAGCAAATCTGTCCCTTTCGGGGTAGCTCTTCCTGCCTGCTTGTGTCTATCCAAATGTCTTACTCTTCTGTCCCTTTTCTAATAACCCATTCTTTAAACATTCAAAAAAAAATTATAGGACCTTCCCTGGTGGTGTAGGCAGTTGAGCACAGCGCTGTGAAGCTGTCCCTAGCCTTTGCAGCACCGGTTCAGTCCCGGCCAGGAGGGTACCACTGGGCACCGCAGACCTCTCCTGTCTTACCCGCTGCTCCCCTCAGCAGTGTATTTCGTCAGCCTGCCTGTTCTGTTCCCCACTCTGTCTCTGGTGAATCCTCTCACCCTCCCGTGCATCTGGCGTCTGCCCCAGTTCTTGTATAAATAAGTAAATAAAATCTTTAAAAAAAAATTATAATAGCAAAACAAGGAAGCAAAGTCACTATAGTAAAGTTTTCATTTAAACTAAAACTATTATGCTATTAGAGTTTATTGAAAATCAAGTTATATATGCTAACGAGAAAAACACCTAAACTTAAGACCTCCCAAAATCAGAAACTAAAATTATGTAGAAAGATATTTTGGAAAAATACTTTCTAAGAGTGGGGTTGTATTTTTTAAAATCAGAGAGAGTTTTAAGTTCTACTTTATAAAGCGTTACAGGGAAAAGGAGGAACATTTCATAATGATAAAAGCAATTCAATGAAATATAATAATCCTGAATCTTGTAAGCACAGCTTGAAAACAGTAAAACTTAGCTTGAAAATACATAAGCAAAAATATGATGAAAATATTTTCCAAGAGAAATGAAAGTATGCACAATCAATAATGAGAGAATTTGATAGACCTTTTTCAAAAACCAGAAAATCAAGTGAATAATAGTTATTGAGGATACAGAAGATTTGAATATCACAACTAATAAGAGAATCTAATAAAAATATATATAATCCAGCATTAATTATTAGAGAATATATATCCTCATTAACTGTACCTGGAACATTTATACAAACTGACCAAATTAAAAACAACTGAGCAAAACTCAACACCAAAGCATTGACATAATACAGACCTCATTCTCTGACCATAATGCAATAAAATTAGAAATCTGCCACAAAATAGCCCCAAATCATAAACATTTGGAAATTTCACAAAACAAGTGTTAGATAATCTTTGCTTCAAAAATTAAATTATCACAGAAATTTGGAAAAAACATTTAGAATTAACATTGGTTTTGTTTTGTTTTTTAGTTATTTATCAGAACTCTGGGCTATAGTTAATGTCATACTGGACGTCACAATCTGAATACACGCTCATGTATTTAGGGAAAATTGAAATACAATGACTTAAGCATCCAACTCACAAAGTCAGTGTAAAATTTAAAAAATGAACCCAAAAAAGTAAGAGTAAATAATAGAGAAAAGAAAGGGGATGGATAGGATAGAAGTGGGTATTTATTTTTGACAGGCCTATTTTAGAGTTGGCCTCTCTAAGATGTAGGTGTTTGTGTTAAAAAAAAAAAAAATTGTGCATGAAGGAAAAAACTAAGATATTAATAAAATACCTTAATTTATTTTAGTATTCTAATAACAATATTTAGTATATTTTGCTTTCTGCTCTATCATAGGAGACAGAAAACTGGCTTCCCAGTCTATGATTCACAGGTGTGTGATTCAGCAGGTGTATAGAGCGAGTGGAAAAATGAGGCACCTCTTGGCTCATGGAGCCTCTCTCAGGAGTAAAGCCATGGATGCAGCAAGTGCTATGAGAATAGATCCCTCGGGACAGGATGATGACAGAGTATGTGAAGCCAGAGTCTCTCAGCTCTGTCATTCAATTGCCCGGTAAGACTTAGCAGCTACCAACCGAGAACTCCTTATGGGAAGAGGTTCACCCTGGCCTCCTTCCAGCAAGTAGGTCTGTCTAGCTCATGTACAGAACCCCAGGACATCAGCACCACTCAGAGGACTGTGGTCCCCACCCTAAAGTAGTATTTGCTCAACTCCTTTGTCCTTCATACCCTGTTGATTGTCCCAACCAGATGAAGCCAATTATCCACATTCTCCTAAGGATTCTCCCAGCATAGTTACACCATCACCACCTATGCAAGCCATCCATGCTCACCCAGATTTTTACCCCCCACTATCCTGTAGCTCCACTAATTAGATGCAATTTTCCACATCTTCCAGCCTTCAGAAAATTCACCAAGGAATCCCTATTCCCCAACTTCACTTCTCTAGATAGCATTTACCATCTGATGATTTTCTTGTTTATTATTTGATTGTTTCTGTTGTGTCTCCCCCTGAGAATGTAATCTTCATAAAAGCAGGAACCTTCCTGCTCTTGTTCACTGTCATATGCCCTGCTCGCAGCCATGCCTAGCACATTGTGGAAGCATAATATTTTTGAATATATGAATGACGTAATCAATGAATTTCTTCATATATGTCCTGGGAATCTCCTTTCACATGAAGGCCAGAGGGAGAAACATGAGCACAAATGTCCATTCTTTAGTGTGCTCCTGCAATTGTAGAGTTTGTACATGACTGTGGAGAAAATGTTGTGCAGCCCCCTCTTTCTCTGCCACATGAGAATTATGATCTTGCTCTGCTGGCCCCATGCCTAGATTCAAAGGACTCTACCACATTGATTTTAGCTGGGGCAAGATGCCAGCCAAGGACCATTTGGGAAGAATTTCCCACAGTAGGCAGAAAGTGACACCACAGACAATGCTTAAACTGCTCTCAGCAGCCAGCGATGCTAAACAGGCTCCACTTGAGACTGCACTGGGGGAAAGCACACCTGAGTATTCTAGAACATATCATCAGCAGCCAAAACCTTTTCTTATTTAAACCCCCAATCCAGGCAAACCTAGGAAATCCAATCAAACAGACATAAACCAATTGAACCTTGATAATCATAGACTGTTTATGGTCCCTAATTAATCCCTGTCTCCTTGAAAGATTTTCCTTTGGCATTTGCTTACTTCAAAATTGCTCAAGTGTTCTGCCATCAGCAACATTCAGGTCATCTTACTCTCATTATTTTTTATCTTTTCACCAAAGGTGTGTGTAGGGACAAAAAATAAAATGACAATTGAGAAAATATGACAATAGAATGGAAATGTTATCTTAATCAATCGATAATGTCCCTGCCAAATATTCCTACTGTGGCATAAAATTAATTTTAACACTTAATAAGAAACTTAATAGAAATTACTAAAGTCTAAATTTTAATAGGTAAAACTGTCAGAATTCCAACCAATCCAGTTTACTTTTATTGAATACAAGAAGGCCAGCCATTATAAGGTATAACTGGCTACCCTCCCAGCTTTCTGAACCACCATAAATTTTGCGTCTCCCCGAAAGACAATATTCTGACCTTCCAAGATTGGGCTGAGTGTCCATGCTTCTTGTCCTTATAGAATCTTTTACTGACTCCTGCTAATTTTTATAAATGCTTCTTCCTCAGAAAAATGTTTCTTTTTTTTTTTAATATTTATCTACCCATGCATACAAGAACTGGGGTACAGGCCAGAGGTGTGGGGGGTGAGAGGACTCACCAGAGACAGAGTGGGGAACAGAACAGGCAGACTAACCAAAACACACTGCTGAGGAGAGCAGCCAGCAAAATAGGAGAGGTCTGCTGAGCCATGTGGGTAGCTCCCTGGAGGGCCAGGGATCAAACTTGTGCTGCAGAGGCTGCAGATAGCTTCATAGTATGGTGTCCAACCCTTTGTGCCACCAGAAAGGCTCTAAATTTCTTAAAGATGAAGATCATTTGTTGCTTTCCTATTGTGTTCCTGGGGGTTAACACATAGCCTGGGCTAGAATGAGTGCCAAATTAATGTATTTTGTTGAATACATGAATGATTAGAATCACAGACAGGAGTGATGAATGAACCAGAATGGAGTGTTCAGGTACCCCACATCACAGTTCTTTCTGATTTTAGAATCAGCAGCAGTAGACAATACATGAAATCTCAGAGTAAACCCAGTCTCTGCATCCACCTCAAGCATAAACTTGTTATGCTTTCTGATCAGGACTTTCTCTGACAATTCAAGAGCCCATTCAGCCCCTGCCCAAAATAGTCCAGAAGTGCAGGTGAGTTATAGTTCTCAGTGAAATCCTCAGTCAATGAGGAATAAGGGCTAAAGGATGGATGCCCCAGCCTCCTGTCCTAGAGAAGACAGGTTTTAAAAGCCTTCTATACAAATCTCATCAAGTCTTAGTGTTACAGGGCAGGAAGAGGGGCAGCCCAGACCCACAAACCTGCTTGCTCTAAATAGGTTCTGCCATCCTCCGCATCAACACAAAACATATGAGACTTTAACGGGAAGGAAATTTAATACAATTAAGAAACAATACAGAAAAGACAAAGAATATAGTTTCTAAATCAAGCACTCAAAGTTACCCGTCCCCTCGTGGGTAAAAGTCCACCCAAGCAGGATTGGCCCAGAGCAAGACCCCAAAGCCTGCCCCAAGTTTAAAGCATCTTCCAGTGGGGACCCACAGAAAAGGATCAGAAACAACCAGACAAGTCTGGAAGGAAAAGAGCAAAATCAAAATCAAGATAAAAGCTGCCATTGTCACCTCCCCACGAGTCTCACCTACATCTGTGTCACCCGTCCACAACCAAAAGGCAAGTGTAGTTTCTTCACGTGTCTCTCAGCTCCATGTGCCTCCTCCAGGTCTCCTTCTGGCTCCATCCTGCTTCCTTCCTTCCTCAGTCTCCTCTGCAGCTTCTTCTCTCCCTCTCAGCTCCACTCTCCCTTGGGTGGGGCAGGAAACCTGGAAACTCCTCCTTTCCTGGGGACCACCCTGTTACATTAGCAGAATTGAGACCCTGTTGCTTAGAGCAATGCTCTTGTGGGCACTACACCCTTTTGCTCACTGTCACTCTTCACACCTGCCCCAGGACCATCTACCAAACACACTGCTGCATCCACGCCTTTGTCTCAGGTCTTGCTTTCACAAAGTAAGGAAACACAAAGAAAATTGTCATAAGGAATCTAATACGAGACTCTCAACCTAAGGACATTCAGAGACCTGAATGATCAAAGACATGAAAGCCTCAGAGAACATGTGAGAAAATATCACATCATAAACAAGATAATGAGATAGCACTGAACACAGTCCCTAGATCATAGCAAATGCCCAGCAAATTGGTCCTTCTTTCTTCCCTAATTGCTTTCCATTCTTTCTGCATTGTTTCCTTTATCAATTTTGTGGGAACCCAATCAAAGACATCAGCCTTTATGCTATTCCCAATCCCTCTGTGTAAATATATCTCAAAACCTTCTTCTTCTAAAAACTAGGACTCCTAGGAGTAACTACATTTACAGAGAGAAGTAATGATTGATAAAAGTTGTAACAACTGATGTTAAATGTAAAAAATACAAGTTATGCCCTACTATTGGTATTTAGAGCTTTCACTTTTACAGAGACAATTAACTGATTACTTAATATTATTGGCTGACTAAATAAGTTGAGAGCCAGGAGGATCATCTTCTTGCCTATGAAAGCTTAGTTGCCTGATCCTTAAATGTAGAAGTAGTTTCCAGGATAGTCACATATAGACAAGCCTTATAAACCCAAATCTGCAAAATTAGTGTAGACTTTCAACTGCTCACAGATTACATTTTCATTTTAGTGACTTGATCTAAGGATATGAGCTATTTTAGGATTTCAGGCACAATGGGGTAACCTGATGAAGAGGTTTTGAGGATAAAGTGACCAAATGTCAAATATCAAATCACTTAACTATTCTACCTACATGCAAAATCTAATTTTATTTCTTTATGAACTTTACTGTACATCTGAGATGCCAAGAGTGCTTTCATAAAATAAAGAAAATACTATGATTTTATTTCTTTAACACAGAGTTAGAAAACTGGGTTATTCAAGCATCCTAACTTAAAGTGAGCAAACATCACAGATCCTGAAAACATATTGTGTCTCAGGAAAGAAACCATAGCACGTGCACAACTCTGATACCACATTTGCATTTCTCAACCACTTTTCAAACACCTTGCATCTGCAAAAGGAAAAAATCATTCCAACTCTAGGAATTAGTGGTGAGTGAAATTGGCAACATTTGAATTCTTCACATGTCTAATCTTAACACTTTATTTTAACAAATTCAATATAAAACAAAAATGCTAAATATATCTTGGACAGAATTTATCTACAGTAGTGGCAAAAATGAATTATAGTCCTGCCACTGTTTCCATCAGCACATTTAAAGCCCCCAATAAGCATATCAGTTAAGTAAAATTATGGGGCTTCCTATGCAAATGCAGTTTTTAGTGGATTCTCCTATATTCATCAACATCAAAGTTGTCCCTGATAAGGATGCAATTTGGATAAGAACAATGAGCTTGCTATGCAAACACATGCCAAAATCCACACTAGCTCTTCCTTCCAAGACATTGTTATCCTAAATCTACTTGCATTAACACCCTGGGTCCACTGTCATTTATTATTATTCAATTTTCTAAATTTTATAAGTGAGCTGGAAAGAATAACAACACTTAACCAGTGACATTTTGTGGCATCATTTTAATACATTATTTTCTGTTACTAATACACGAACTTCTCCATAAAGCAATTTGAGCCTTTTTAGAAATTTTTAAAATTAAGATATGAAAAGAATGCCTAAATCTACTTGCATAAACACCTGGGTCCACTGTCATTTATTATTATTATTCAATTTTCTAAATTTTATAAGTGAGCTGGAAAGTACAACAACACTTAACCAGTGACATTTTGTGGCATCATTTTAATACATTATTTTCTGTTACTAATACATGAACTTCTCCATAAAGCAATTTGAGCCTTTTTA